ACCATCCAGTCTTCCATCTGAGCTTTACTCTAAGCTATCTAAATTAAGAGTCTGCAATAAAACACATCTTTGCTCCTGAGCTAGAAGCCTAAATTTAGTGTATGTAAGAGAGGTCTTGGAACTGGTTTACTCTGGTGGTGTAGGACTTGTAGGCTGTCTGTGTTTATAATATCCTGCTAGCCCAGGTCTCGAAGTGATGTGGAAGTCCGACCTCTTTGATGGTCAACACTGCCTCCCCCATTCTGGCTCGGAGAGGACTCTAAGTCAGTTGGCTTTGTGTTCATGGGAATTTGCCAATGGTAAGGGGAGGCAGAGTGGGAGGGAACCCTAGGGGCTGAATGGCATGGCAGCATGACCCCATGCATGGCTTCATGGCAACATGACTCCATCTCCTTGCAGCTGGCTGGGCTGGGGCTCTCACCGGGGCTCACGGTGGTGCAGTAACAAGAGGTGACCGCAAGGGGTAGTTGGTGGAGTGAGCTGAAGAACCACAAGCAAAACACACAAAACCCCATGAGGCGGAATAATTTTGTTTTAAGCAAACATGAGTTAAAAATCTCAGTGTTTCCCATTACACTGTTGTGTTTTTTTCTGTGTGAAACTCTGCATGATAATAATGTTCTTGTGTCAACCTGTGGTATTTCCTGTTGAGATTTCTTAATGGTGTTTATTAATTTAATTAAAGAAATAGAAATTATTTAAAGGCATAAGCACGGAGACAAAAGTAAGGTTGAAGAATCTATTTGAGCTCTGTGTTCCCTGCCTTTTTGAGCACTTGATTTCAACATCTGTATTGCAACAACACGAACAGTATTTTTGGGAGCTGTGTGTGTTTTAGAAAGATAATTACAGATACATCAGGCATTACTCTTGCTTCCTCAGGTCCAAAACTCTTGTTGGCTTTGGTGTTGAAACTCTTAAGTGTCTTGTCTTTTGGGGGCAGGCCACTATTTCAGGGTAGAAATAACAGTTACCTGATGAGGTTTTTGGAAGGTTTACATCTGTTGTGTTACAAATAGGATAAAATTCTGCACTCTAGTCACTTAAAACTTGCTCTTTTTGAGCACATCTGGCAAACTTGCCTGCTAAAATATTGCTGAAGAGGTAAAAGGTTGCAGACACGGATGGAAAAAGTCCACTTCTTCCTTAAAATAATAATCATGGCTTTTAGCTGTGGTACAGTGGTCTAAACAGCCTGCTTTTGTCAACAGTGGGTGTCAAGGACCCCATACTGTGCTGGGTTGTTGACCAGGAGACTAGAGTTGTCTCCTGGCTGGCTGGATGCAGAGCAGCCTTATAGCCCACCCACTACCTTACTCTGAATTTACCTGAGTGCTGGAAAATTGGGAAAAACTTTCCTCCTGGATGCAACCTCCTGCTGTGCTGTCTAAGCCTTGGATGGCTGATGTGCTTCTGGTGGAGGCATGTTACCCCTTGCAGTCCAATACTGGTTGATTGTGTTGCTGACTCATTTATCTCAGTCCCATACCCACCTAGATCCATGGCTCCAAATAACTGCCTTTTTGATTTGCCCCACAAAGTTTTGTCTTCTGTCTTCTCTTCCTCCTTCATGTCTCTTGCAGAACACTGTGTGCATTGGGGTTTTTTACATAAGTTGTTTGCAGGATGCTTAGCTGCCTGCTCCGATGCCTTCCCTTCCTAGAGGTACATCAGCAAGTGCCAGTTACCATGTCCTTGTTAGCCAGAAGATGTCAAATAATAAGTAGCTTCCACCCACTCAGCACAGTGCTTCCCAAACTGGTAATTAGAAATAACTTGGCTTTTCCTTGCTTCATCTGCGGGGAAACACTCCTGGTTAGCCTGTGATTTTGAGCTCGGTCTGTGTTGCAGCACAGCCCGGCTTCACTGATGGTATCGCTCCCGTCAGGTTGTAACAGAGTTATGGCATCTCCTTCCCTTGTGTGGAGTGCCCGTGTCTGTGCGCCGCAGGCTCGTTAAAGCTGATGCCCAGCAGGAGCAGTTTATGGTTTTGTAATGGCTTTTATGTTGTTGTCTCATGGAGTTAGGTCTGTCTGAAGACAACCAGAGTTTAGAGCAGTTAAAGCTTCTGATGGAGATTACCATAATTACAAGTGATCAACATTCAGTGCTTTCCCCCCTCCCCCCTCCCTCCCAGTACAGCTTGTCTCGGGTCAGGCTGCAGAGAGGCCACTTGGAGAAAGTGCCTTCATGGTAACATCCATGATCTGACACTGTGCCCAAAGGGTGACATCACTGCCTACCTGCAAGACCATCAGGTTTAAGTTATTGCTGTATTTCCACCAAAGGCAACCGAATTGGCACTGTGCTTGTCAGTGCTGTTACTGATACTCCTTACCTTCACCTGTTCGTTTGCATTTTAATCATAGTTTACGTAATTGTGATTCTTGTTTTGTTTAAGTGATATTCCCCACAGGATTGCTTAAGAATGCACCTACAGAAATCCTACTTAGCAATTTTCCCTCAATCACATCCCTTCCAGCACTTGCTAATATATTTTGAGGTAATAGCCAAATGTTATGATAGTGAAAAAAGGGTTAAAAGTGAGAAATACAAGTACATCCTGGATAGATGAATCCATTTTTCCGCTAATTAATAGCATGCTTCTAACAATGGAAAGCTATTAAAACATGAAGGTATGTTTTGTGAATCACATTTATCAACCACTATACATGCTGAAATTCCATTATTTATTCTGTGTTTTTAACATAGCATATGGATTTTTTCATTCAAATGTGGAAAGTAGCAACAAAAACCTTTTTTTGCCTCCATTTAAGTATATATTCATGCAAAAATGAAAATGTAATAAGAACTGTACATTCTTATGTCAACAGTAACCTTTAAATGGTGTTCTTTAGATAAAACTGTGAATATTGGAAAAGAAAAAAGAAAGATAAGTGGTTCCCGTATTCATCTTAGTCCAAAATCTATTCTACCCACTGCTGGTTGCTGGCATTGTTTGATGGTATGACAGAGTAACAGAGAATCAGATTATCAGAAAAGGAGATTCCCAATTTAATAGTTACTTGCAGAAATCAAAGTAGTTTTTCCTTTATCTTAACATCTCAAAAATAAATAGCTGCTAAATTTCAAATCGTGTAGCCTTCCTGATTTATCATCATATCATGGATGCACTTGGCTGTCTAACATCAGGGAATCCAATAACTCCCGTCACATACGAAGAAAAGAAAAAATCCTATTGGATAATGGTTTGCATTCTCCCCTACAGTGATTTATTTCTGTCACAAGACTTAATTTTATCACGAGGCAGATGCTTCATCTATATCAATGCAGTACATTCCTGCATTCATTTGTTTCACACCAAAATTGTACCTGATCTATTTTCCAATGCATTTTGGCTTATTTAGTACACGGAGTGATTAGATGGTGTTTAATCACATGTGTAATTTCCAGTCTTCATAATTCTCAAGCATAATAAAGCGAGGCCCATGTAAAGAAGCATAATATTAAATTAAATTGCAGAGAGTAGCAGTTAGAGATGCAGCTGGTGTTAACGTTTCGATCTCTAGCGTGTCACGGCAGAGCATGTCAAGTGGAATAAGCAGAGCTTACTCAGGTTGATCAGGTGATCAGCCCAAAGAGAGTATGCCAAACTTTGCCTTGCATTAATTTCTCTCAGGCTATAATGAAAAAAATAGTCATCGTGCCTTCTCCTTTGAAATCTGCAGCTCCCTCAAGTGCAGAAAGCCTGTCCCGTGTGTTTTAATGAGAAATGCGTGTCCTATCAACACTTTCCCCCACCCCTCCGTCTGCCACTTAATACAGATTATACTCTCCCGAATAATCATCTTTATTTGGCGGGGCAGCTGAGGTCCACAGGTTGGGATCCTCTGCCAAGTGTCATTACACCGTGGGAGTGGGCTGTGGCTGCTTAGGTGGCCTTATCCGCGGCACTGCCAGCCTGGAGAGCCGAGCTGCCTCCCTGGGACACGGAGTGGTCCCAGGGAAGGGCTGTCAGACTGCTGAACTTCTCAATCAGCAGAGGATATATGTGATTCCTGTTCTGACATTCTGCCTGGAGGACCATCTATTGTCAGCTGCCATTGACAAGTGACAGCAGAGCTGTGACTTCCAGGAAGTTTATCATCTTCTTCTCCCTCCTTTCTTTGCTTCCCTTCTCTTTTTATAAATAACCCTTGACCGACTGCCCTTTCCTTTGGTATGGAGTGTGGACAAGTAAAGGTAGGAGCAATGGAAAGTTTCCCAATTTTACAATTCAGTGGTAGCACTGTGAGGGAGTGAATATATGGGGAAAGAGACTGAGGTAATGACAATTCTCAAAACAGCTGTTGTACGATTCAGCTTCACTACTTCAGTTAATTAATCAGCACCTTGCTGGCAACTCTGGGGGAGATACTCGTTAGATACTGGTAGCAAACAGACAATGCTTTCATATCAAGTGTGTTCAACAACATCTAATACAGCGATAACTTCCACAAAAGAGGTCAGGGAATACAGAGGCTCATAAAAGCGCTCACGAAACAGCATTTAATATCCTGGTATATATGAATGTGCTACATATGCTGCCTACTTTGTTACAGCTCTCTGGCTTAAAACACTGTGGACTAACAACAGCAAACTTTCATGTGTTCAGCAGAGATATTTATCTGAGATAATATTCTTATAGATATGTTTATATAAGTGCTGTGTATGAGGGCCCACTATTCATTGCTGCATTCGTGTAGGATTTCAGAGACCTTACGTTCTAAATGATTCTATTCTCTTTTTTGCTGCAGGATGAAAAAAATGGGAAAACTTAAATCCTTCATGCAAAGCTATCTTGTAGAAAGTCAAAATGTGGTTAAGATAAAAAAACTCAGTTGGGAGAATGCTGAGTCTACATGTTGTCTCTGAGATTTCCCTCTTTCCTCTTCAGCTTAAAAGGAGATACTTTGCATCCTACCTACTAAGTTGATAAGAGCATTCATATTTTATGAGGAATAATGCACAGAAACCTTAAACCACTGAAATTACATATCTACATTTGTAGTATATTTTATATTTTAGTACAGTCCTAAAATTTAATGAATATTAGCTTGAAGTTCAAGACAAAACTAGCTTAAAAAAAATGTAACAGCCCTGTTAGGACAAACATTTCCTTCTGCCGTGCTGATTTACTGGTAAATTGCAATTCGATGCATTGTAGTTCCTTTTCTGAGACCTCTTCTCTTGCTCTGTTCACTTTTCTGATTTAACCCTCTTGTAGGTTAGGCAGTAAATTGCAATGAAAGTGACGCACTTAAGAGACCGAAATTTATTTGCTGTCAAATGTTCCAAACATGCTCACTTTAATTTTTCGGTTGACTTTATTGATTTATTAAGAATGATAATAGCCTGCATATCACTTCATATGCATAACTTTCAGATAAATCTTCAATATTACTGGCGCATAGTCGTGACCATTGTGGAAGGGAGTGAATGCGTTTAAATATTTAATGTGGTGTTTGTGGAGTTCAGCACCAGGTGGTTTTATGGGTTTTGGGGTCGTTCTGGGTCCGCCCGATGCTCTGTGGAGCTGCAGGTAGTGGCATAAACTCAGGTAGGACTCTTTGATGCAGTTGTAGGAGTCACCAGCTCTCTGGAACGGGGCTCCGAGTTGTATTAAGCAATTTATGTGGACAATTTATCCAGTCTGCTGCCATGTACTGATGTAGACAATTATAGCTCCAGCTCTTTAATGAAACGTACATTATGGTAGAAAGAATATCATAGTTTCTATTATACTCAGGGGAACTATAAAGAGAAATGTCCTTTTTTAAATTAGCTTTACGGCACTGAAGCTTTTATGTATTTACATGCAAGTACACTATTAACCCAAACTACTTGTTTTGAACTCTCTCTGTTGTCAGCTCTTGGGAAGTGTCACAGGCTGGTAGAAAAACTTCTTTTGTGCCTACCTTTAAGCACTGCTGGCCTTTCATGTTAATGGGAGTCTGCTAAAACTTCCACTTTGCTGCAGTCATTCAGACGACAGTGAGAACAGGATGCTGTCTTAATCTTCCCTAATCTGTAGCAAAAACCTGAGATAAAAAAGGACTTTTGTCTAATCCGGCCTCTCAGGTATGGTTTACTTTAGATTTGAGCTATAAATATCTTTCTTTACTTTGTTCTTCTGAGAAGCAAACTGTTGAAAGTGGGGCACGGATTCATTCTTCAGCTGCCCATTTGAGAAAGAGAGAAAGAGCCTTTACAATTTGTAAAAGAGAAAAATAAAGACAAGGCTTTTGATGTGTGTCCTCCATTTGGTGAATGCACCCTGTTGTAGAGCTGCCTGTTGCTGAGGCAGCCGTGGACATGAGGCACCCAGTGCTGACTGCTGTTGAGCATCAGGAAGGTTCAACCTCTTGTTTCAGGTGTTGAAGACAGGTCCATCTATACCTGAAGGAATTGTCTCCATAAACCTTGGTTTCAACATTTTAGAAATATATTTGTGCATTTGCGCTTAATCATTCTTATCTAGTAAAAATAAAAATTGCACTATGAAATGAAGAAATGGGGTGGGAGAGAGACTATGCTTGGAATGAAATAAAATGACCAGCTTTGCTTTTGATTTCTGTCAACTCACTATTTCATCTGCATTTTCTCTGTTTATATACTTCACATGTCTCAGATATTCTTAAATTGCAGTAGTTCTTCAGCAGCAGGCCAATCCAAACAGAAGTGAACTCAACAGATTGTTTTCCTTTGTTGCCTGTAATGATGCCAGATGAAATACCTGCTCCACTACAGTCCAGTTTCTTAAGTGCTGTTTCTTGTCTGAGGACAGAATTTGGAAAGGAGGAGTAGTTAAAAAGTGAATGCCACAGATACTAATTGGAATGACTTGATACGAGTAACTATAAAATTAATGGAATGTCTGAAGGCTTTCAATTATTCCTGGTTTCTTTTGCAAACTTGGGGGGGGGTTAGAAATGTATGTACGAAAATTGCTGCACAGAATTTACATGATATCCCAAACCAGGCTTCAACAAGACTTTTCATAAATCATTATTCCCTCATAGCAGCGTTATCATCATCTCCATATCCAGATGAGGGGTCTGTTTAAGATTGTCACTGGGCTAAGAAAAAGTAAACTTATGTTGTCTACCTGGGCATGGCTTTTGCACATCATTTACCACCCCCACCAATCATAGCAATCCTTGTTCAGTCTGATTCAATGTTCCTTTCATTTGTTTTGAAAACCTACTGAGAAAAAAGCCACTCCTTTTGAGGAAAAAAAAAGTGTCAGAGCCCTGCAAATAGGTTAATTCTGAAATCTGTAATGTTTTCCATGTACTTACGCAGGGAAAAGGTAAAGGGTGGATTTTATAATCCCTTGAAACCATGTGTGTATATCATAGATATAAAATGGGAGAGAAAAGGTTGAATTTGGATCTATAGTCATTCGGAGTCAGAGAGTAATGATGACAATGTCATCTGGTAATGAGGGGCTAATGGGGCTAAACTTCATCAATTAAATCCTTTCTCTTTTATAGATTCATAGATTATAATGCCAGAAAGGAATACTGTGATAATCTAGTCTGACCTCGTTTTACAACATATACTATGAAACTTCCCTGAAATAATTCTTGTTTGAACAAGAGCATTTATTTCAGAAATAAAGCATCCAACCTTGATTTAAAATTGCCATGGTTGGAAATGCCTGAGAAACCTTGATAAATTGTTGGAATGGTTAATTATATCTCTCTGTTAAAGGGGCCCACCTTCTCTCTCCTCTGAATTTTTCTCTCTTCAGAGAAGTGGAGAAGTGTGATCTTTGTGTGCTGTGGATGTGATGGGGTGTAGGCCACTTGGGAGTTTCTCATCTTCAAATATGTCAAATCTGATTTCCTTTTATGACAAGGTAACCCACCTAGCTGATCAAGGGAAACCAGTTGACATAATCTTTCTGGATTTCGGAAAAGCTTTCAATGCTGTCTCTCACAGGATCCTTCTGGACAAAATGTCTAGCCCACAGCTGGATAAACACATCATGCAGTGGGTGAGCAGTTGGCTCACGGGTCGAGCACAGAGAGTAATAGTGAATGGGGTAACATCAGACTGGCGACCTGTCACTAGTGAGGTTCCACAGGGCTCCATCTTTGGCCTGTGCTCTTCAACATCTTCATAAACGACTTGGACACAGGACTGGAAGGGATACTAAGCAAGTTTGCACATGACACAAAACTGGGAGGAGCTGTTGACTCCCTTGAAGGCAGGGAGGCCCTGCAGGGAGACCTTGACAAATCAGAGGACTGGGTAATCACCAGCCATATGAAGTTCAACACGGGAAACTGCTAGATTCTGCACCTGGGATGGGGCAACCCCAGATGTTCATACAGATTGGGGAATGAGAGGCTGGAAAGCAGTGCTGTGGAAAGGGACCTGGAGGTCCTGGTTGATGGCAAGTTGAATATGAATCAGCAGTGCCCTGGCAGTCAGGAGGGCAACCATGTCCTGGGGGGCATCAGGCAAAGCATCGCCAGGCAGTCAAGGGAGGGGATTGTCCTGCTCTGCTCTGCACTGGTGTGGCCTCATCTTGAATATTGTGTGCAGTGTTGGGTGCCACAATATAAGAAAGATATTAAGCTCTTAGAGAGTGTCCAAAGGAGGGCAATGAAGATGGTGAAGGGCCTTGAGGGGAAGCTGTATGAGGAGGGGCTGAGGTCACTTGGTCTGTTCAGCCTGGAGAAGAGGAGACTGAGGGGAGACCTCATTGCAGTTACAACTTCCTCATGAGGGGAAGAGGAGGGACAGGCACTGATCTCTTCTCTGTGGTGACCAGTGACAGAACCTGAAGGCAATGGCCTAAAGTTGTGTTAGTGGAGGTTTAGGTTGGATATTAGAGAAAGATTCTTCACCCAGAGGGTGGTTGGGCACTGGAACAGGCTCCCCAGGGAAGTGGTCACAGCACCAAGCCTGACAGAGTTCAAGAAGCATTTGGACAATACTATCAGGCACATGATGTGATTCCTAGGCCTGTATTGTGCAAGGCCAGGAATTTGACTTTGATGGTCCTTGTGAGTCCCTTTCAACTTAAAATATTTTGTGATTCCATGATTCAAATAAGCACTTCAAAGCAGTGGGGACATCAACTGTCCCTGCATATCAGGATGTGTTGCTATCAACTAAGTAACAGCCAGTGAGTTGTTCCTTGGTGTGAAGGACACAATTTGCATCCTGGGACTTACCTGTGCTTTACAGGTCTGCCAGTGATAGTAACGGGGGCAAAATTCTCTTGGAACAGATATTGTTCAGAGTTGCATTGCTTGACTGTCTTTCTCCTGCCATGCTGTCTGTCTCTGCTCTTTGCTTTGAGAACCAGACTTTGCTTTGAGAGTCAGTTTTACACTGGGATATAGAGCAGAAATGGAGCAGAGTTCAGAGGGATTTACTAGCCTTTGCAACTGTGTTTCTAAACTAGGCACTTCTTCATATTCATCTCCTTGCACTTTCTCCCAGTAGTTTCCCTGCCAAGTGGCATCCTTTTGATGTGACTGGGATACAGTAAGCATTCCATTGTAGTTAGGAGGGAACACTGAGAAGAGAACACTGAGCAAACTAGCTCTATGACATGTGCATCTCTGTCCTCAACCCAACTTTTGCCAGCTGCCTCTTCAGGAGGAAGGAATGAGATGGGTTTCAGGGTCCTGTTGGAAGTAGAGAAGGGCATGTCAGCATGAGGGGTAAATCATGGATGTAGCAAAGTTCTCCATCATAAGCCTTTCTGCCCAGCCCATGCTTGAGCTGGCCTCAACCGCAGCGTGTTCCTGTTGTGGATATGCAGTGCCCATGTAAGAAGTACTCATCTAGAAAATGGAATTAGAAAGGTTTTCTGAGAGCCCAGAAGAAAAATTACTTCAGTTAGTAATTAATGGTATTTGCACACGGTTAGCATTTTAATATCATGCAAGATTTTGCAGGCACTAGAAAGTCCTGCACTACTGATTTGGATGTCTTGTGAATGAGGGACATAAAAATAAGAGGAATCACATGTGGGAATGCGAGATCCTGGAATGGAAAGCCATTCCATTATGACATTTCTTACCAGTATTACCTTCCTAGATTTTCGTGTGGCTCATTCCAGTGTCTCACCATTTTCTGCCCATTTTCTTCGAGGAGAAAATCTTTTGTATTGAACAGAGTATTTTTCCTGTAGTTTTGTGAAAAATAGTTGTTACTTTTCCAATTGGGATAACTTGTGAAATCCATTTAATTAGCAGGCTGATAGCATTGTGACTGTACACTCTGTGGGATTCAGAGTCTCCATTTCATGCAGTGAGAAACAAAGACCCTCCATTTGATGGCTGGAGATGCTCAGTTTAGTCCCACAAGGGCTGACCCATCCGACAACAGTCTGTCATTTCATTTTTCCTGAGAATAGGAATTCTTAGAGAATAAGGATTGCTTCTGGCCAGGAATTAGGGCAGCCCTTAAAACTAGTCAAACAAGGATATTCAGTTTACATTATAAGTGAAATGTGTATTTATGCCTTTTCTGTAAGCTGAAAAGCCTCAAGTATCTCAGGAGGAGTTTATGGCCTTTCATCATTTTCATTGATCAGAATCAACATTAATCTGGTAAATTAATCTGAGAACTCCTCCACCTCTCACCATCACAAAACAAAACTCCTCTAGTCCTGTCCTCCAGCATTTTCATCAGATTTTTTTGTCTGAGAATAGAAGGTAGAGAACACAGAAGTGCCAGGCATCTACAGCTCTTAGGTGAGAGTGCTTCTGCAGCAAACATTTCCCAAAGAGCTTCCCATGTCAGTGGTACCTACACAGCTCCACGAAGTTGGTATCACCAAAACACTGGCCTGTGAACCTCTGCTGTTCCTGAAATATCTGTTACTGCTCCTCAGCTGGAGCTCTGTCTCCAGAGAGGCCAGCTGGGCTCCTGCTGCTCTGAAAGGGCAGATAAATTGGGTTCTTGAAGGCAGATGGCAGTTTCTTATGGATAATGTAGTATTCCAGTAATTACTGTAGGAAAATGATGTAAGCTAATGTGTATTAGTTCTGCTACTGTAATCTAAAATGTATTAATATTGTGGCAGTACTATTCCATTTAATGGTTACATTAATACATATGCTGTGGATATGATGGTACACTTGCATTTATATTGCGTATTTTACCACAATATTTACAATAGTATTACTTACAAAATTATGGACAAAGTTGCCTGATTTCATGGGTGGGTCCTACCACAAATAGTAGATTTCATGGCTTGTTATAGATTATTAGGAAAGTCATATGTGGGAATCATTAATATAGCTTAAGTAGTTATCAATACAAATTTTATGAACAATAAAACCAAACACCAGTCTCTCAGCATTAAAGCTATTAGGATACATATTATAGCATTTGTATTGAAGTTTCTGACCGCTCTTTTTTTCCTAGGTATCAAGTTCAGTCAGTTGTGAGAGCACTCAAATAGTGAAAACTACAGTGGGTAGCATACCTTTCATGAGAACCCAGGCATGATTACACAAGTACTTCTTGCCAACAGAAGTAGACCAAAACATGAAACAAAATAGTCCTTTTAAGTTATGTCCAAAAATACTATTATAAATGCAACCCATGGTTAGTGTGTTGTACTTCCATATGCTCTAAGTATAGTATGTTGTTACAGCTCTGCCCAACTCTCAGGGAAATAAAGCAGCCCTAGTTTTCTTAAATATTAGGATCTTTGGCTTGATTTGTCACATGCCTGTAAGTCTCTGATTTGAGTTCTTCAGCCGTGAGGGTACCCATTATACAGCCTCCTGTATGTTCTTCCCTGCTGGTACCCACTCCAGACAGCAGCTGAAGTACTGGTCCAGTCAGCAGTACGTGGAGGCTCCACTTTGCTCACTCTATTTCAGAGGCATAAAATGCACTGCACTGGGAGGAAACAAATCCAATCATAATTCTTACTGCTATTTTCTGATCTCTCAGTTTGTTTTTCTGTTATCTAGAGCTATATTGCATATTTTAGGCTATAACACTGGCAAGATCTGTTTAAAGACAATTAAAATGCAAAATTTAAGGTTGCATGGGAGTATAATTTTATATGATTTACTGTCTGGGTTTTGCCAAGCACTCCACTGTCACCAGCATAACATTTGGTAAATAACTGAATTTAAGGAGTATACTAGCCACAAGGTGTTATCAACACTAGTTTTTTTTTCTTTATCTGCTTTGAACAAGCTTTTTCATATATTGGAAATTTGTTAAAGAACAGAAGAGAGCTTTCACAAAAGGACTTAGCATTTAACATTTTCACACACTATTGAATTGTTAAACTTCAAAGATTTTTTCTTCTGATTGCTAAGCCTTAATTAAAGCGGATTGCAAAATACTAAGTGTACAGTGAGCGAGAGATTTGCAGGAGATATTTGGAATCAGAAAATCTCAGCGATGGTTTAGTTACATTTTCTTCTGACCTCTGAGCACAGAAGTTGCATCAGCTGAGGCTCTGAGAGTAAATCCTGACAGCATTAAAGTCAGTAGCAAATTCACTCAATCTCTGGAAAATAGGCCCTACAATTACAGACTTAAGAAGCTCAATCTACTTACTTTGTCCAAGAGGAGGATGTGAGATGATGGGATGATGGTCTACAAGGTATTACCTGAAGACGATACCTTCGATAGCAGATAGCTCCTTAATCGAGGCGAAAAAGGCAAGATGAGATGCCAGGGTTAAAAGATGATCCCAACAAATTCAGAGGAGAAATTTGCCACACTTCCTCAGGAGTCAGATCCCAAGCTTCTTGAACAATGTTGCTTGGGAGGGGAATTAATTCCCTGCTGGGAGCTTTTAAGTCAGATTACAACTTCAGAGCCTTGTTTTCCCCAGGGGGTGGGGGACCCTGCTGGGATCCTGGTGCCAGGACCTGTGGAAAGTCTCAGAGTAGTCAGAAGTTTGCTCCCAAGGAGTTTTATCAGTTTTGGCCCTGCAACTTCCAGCCCCATCAAGCCTCACCGAGGCAGTGCCAGGGACATGTGGGTACGTGTCCCACATGCTAGTCACAAGAGAAGTGACAGGGAGTAGCTGGAAAAGCAAACTTTACAAGCAGGTGGGTGAGACCAACCTAGGTTTGGGTTAAGCTGCCCAAAGCTTGATGGTCCCAAAACCTGCCTATTATCAAGGGCCAGAAGACAGCAGTTACTGCACTTTGGTGAGTGACATCACTTCTGAAAGAAAAAAATCAGAATTCCTCCAGGATTAGAATTTCCTCCCCAAAGACTGCTTGGATGGGTGTGGGGGTTAATGCTTTCCACCCAGTCCCTCACCACCCTTCCCTCCTGTGCAAGTTTCGAGCTGGCTTCCCGCCAAGTCCCCGAAACTCGACAACAAGGACCTGCTTCCCAGAGAGGGAAGAGAAAAGAAACGACTTAAGCAGCCAAAGCTATAGCAAAAATATATATATATTTTACATATGAGACAGATATATACAATGAGAATACTATACACCACAACTCCAGAAATCCCAAACAGTTCCCCAAAAAGGGAAGAGGGGAAGGGAGAAGGGAGAAGGACAAAAAGGGACAAAGACCGAGCAAGTCAACCAGCCAACTGAAGGTAAATTAGCAAAATCTCACCACTTCCCTTCGAACAGGCAGGATGGCTGGACACGGCCCAGGGCTCTCCCCTCACGCGTGGCAGATAACAGCAGTCACTGTAGGCCTCAGCTCCGGACAAGCCAGACCGAGACAGGGACCCACCGTTCTCGAACCTCGCCGGGAAGGAAGAGGGCGAGATCCCTCCTGCTGGCTTTATTTATACCTCAAGTTACGTACAGGAATAGCATGGAATACTTCCATGATCACTTTCCTAGTTCCTTCCTGGTTACAAGCTGGTCTCCAGGAAGGCCTAGAGTGAAACCATCACACCTCCTGAGAAGCATGCCCTCTGCCCCGTGCCCCATGGGGACATGGGGGCCAGGCTCTCCACACTGTGTCTCTCACATGTTTCCTGGGACTTGATGTGACTCACCAGGACTGCAGCAGGAATGGGATGAGGGGAAGTTGTCCTGGCATACAACCTCATTTGCAGTAAAAAATGGTTTTCTGTAATGACACAGGTTATTATTCAGAAGATAAAGTGAAAGGAGGTTAGGACTCAGTCATAATTGTGTGTTTGGTGTTGTGTGTACTGTACACAGAGGATGATGTACCTGAATTACGTATCCCCAAAGGCTCCCTGACAAATACTCTGTGAGAGCCCTCAATAGAAAAAAAACTAACCCAAACCCACTCTCTACTAAACCTGCCATTAAAAGACCAATCCTATAAGCCCTATTTTTTTCTTTAAATAGTTCTGGGGTATTTTATCCAGCCATATTTTCTCAGACTTTGGGGTTCTTTACAACAGGCTTTAGATCTGAGAATTCAAGTCAAAAAGTCATTGTATTTAAAGACCGATGGGCATAGCTTTAAGGAAAACTATTGCAAATACTCTTTTTTTTTTCCTCCTTATCCAAGGTCTATTCATCTCATGTAAATGTTTCAGAAGCAGTTTTACTCTGCCTTAAGGCATTTCAATTAATGCTCAGATACATGCTGGTAAAAGCTTTACCTTATGTTTTTTTACTCTGAATTCCCTAGTATTCAGCAACAGGTTTAGGACATCAATAGGTAGCAACGACTAACATGAAAAAGTGAATTAAATCTTTTTCTCCTGAGAGACTTCACATTTTCCACATTGTTTTAGGAATGCTGTGCTCCCTCCTTACTGTCAGAGATAGGTCTTTCTTACAGGGGCTCGACAGGGTTTCCCACAGGCATATTACTGCGCTTACAGCTTGACAGCTATCATGGCAAAAATAAAATCTACATTTTAATGACATTGTGATTATCATTAAAACTGGGGACAAGTCCATTCTTAACTTACTGTGATGCACCAAAGTGTTGAGATGGTATTTGTGATATGCAGTGGTATTTCGAAAGCAATTGTGATACGCTGTGAGTGGAGTTTGCAGCTGACAGCAGTGACCTGACAGATGTAAGATAGTTTAAATAGACTTTTACTTATTGCAATTATTCAGTGATGAAATTGTACAATTAGTTGTAAATCCCTGGGATTACTCCCTTCCTTCTCTAAAAGGGAACAAAAAAAACTTTTCATGGCCTTTCAGGTTTCTGCTGTTTAACACTTAAAAGATCACTTTAAAATGACATGACATGCATTGATGGCTTTCATGTGATATGAAAAGTTGGTTTTATCATTGATTCCTTTTAATATGTTAAGAATAATATTTATCCAGTTTACATTTGTGGAGCAAAGTCTGTTCTAGTTGATTGGAGAAGAGGCTTTTTCATGTGCAACACCGTGGAGTTTAAATGATGTGTTTACAGGCAGCAGGAGAATTTTCTCTAATGATTCTGTAATAGTGCAGTATTACTGTAACAATACTTCTGTATATTTCTGAAATAGTGATATTTTCACATAGATTATTCCAATAATACCAGGTTCAGTCTTCACCACAAACCATCCAGTAGATTGACTAACATTTCTGATTGTGGGACAGTGTGAAAAGGCTGATGCTATTTAAAAGCAGATAAAAGAGAAAAACCTGAAGCCCAAGCAAACATAGTTTAGTGATTTTCTGCAGTGGCTTCACGGCCTCTCGATACTCCCCAGTTGTCTTTTATTCTGCTTTCCAGTCTAGTGTGCTACTTTTAGGCTGAGATTGATATTCCTGATTTGCATGTGGTTTATTTTATTAGTAGAATAATAACATACACATATATATGATCTGGAAAGAGAGGAAGAAAAATTCCTCATGAAACCTGTGGTAGAGAACGTGATGTGTACCTCAGGAAAATATCTAGATTGTATCTCATCCTCATGATTTAGGCACACAGTGAACCAATCGTCCTGAAGTAAATACGTACATTATGAACAAAGAGAGGTCCGTGTAATTTAAGTTCATAATCCCTAATTAATTAGATTCCTAATCCAGATTTCTCTCTGCGCAGGCTTTCAAAGGCATCTACTTCTCTTTGTTGATTACAGAGGAAATTTCCACCCTCATCTCCAAAAACCTGATGGATTAGGTTGAGCAATAGTGGTGAAGAAAGCCTGGAAACTGGAGTGACTAGGAGCAATAGGATGAAATTTGTTTCCAAATAGGGAATGTTACAATTTGCAGAATTGTCTGTATGTATGGACTTAAGATAGAAAGGGGAGACTTTTTGGAAGCAGCAGAAAGAAGAAAAATAAAGGGAACATTTCCACACTCAGATTGCACAAGGCTGTTCATAACCATCACTCATACACACTCACTTCAGTTTAGCTACTGCTAAATAATTTCATTGTGATGCCTATTTCCAGTGGAACTTCTACAACTTAATCAGTATTCCTTGACCACTGAAAGTTTAAAGGCAGAAAACTTTCTCAAAAAATGTCTGTACTAGAGGTACTTCAGTTCTGCAAAACAGCAGTGTCTTCAAAACTTAACTTCAAAAGTCTGGTTCCTGCCTGGATTCCTGGTTTGTTTGGAATCCAGTTAGCTAATCAAAAATGTGCAACATTTTCTCTTGACTAAGTTGCAGCAGCTGTATAAATATCAAGCTGTTATTCTGGGTAATCAAACAATGGGAAAGTTGTTTATACTGTGTTATTGTTAATTAATATACATGGAGGAGTACTTTAAATATATATGCAAACATACATTAATCATGTTTTAAAGGCAAATGTGGGAAGAACAGAGCTTGTAAGGTAGCCATGTAGATGTAGAAACCATTAATGTTTCCGATATCCTGTGGTAGGAAGAAATATATTAAAAATTGATTTTTGGGTTCTGCCTTTTTCTTGGTAACATTTACAATAAAGGATATAGCAGAAAGTAGCCTTTAAATTGATATTTCAAAGCTTTTTATGTTTGGGATATGTTTTTCGGTATTGTTAATGGGTTTGTATAGCAGAGTAAAAAAAGGTCAGCTTCTGAATATGACGGTTTTATTCTTCCATTAAAAAAAAGAGGAGAGTTTAACATTCATTAATTATTTAAATATCAACCAAAATATTTGACATACTGCTACAGTAAGAGGTATTCTTAAAACAAGGCTCAGAAAAGTGTGCCGTCCTTTAAATAACGTGAATGCAGCACAGGAGGGTGTACAGCATTAACTCTCTCTCACCTTGCTTGCTGCTGTATCTGCACACTGCGTGCAGTGAGTGAGGAGACGTGTATTTATGGGACTTTCATCGCCATGATTCAGTCTTCACCCTTTTACACTTTTATAATTGAAGAGCCTCTCTTCATCCAAGAAAAGTGAACTATAACGCGTTTCGTAGCTTCTCCCAGTTAAAAGCCACACTGTATTGAGCAAGCAGCTCTGTCAGGTTGTTTTCTTTTAAAAGATGCTTTGGAAAATAGCGGTCCTTCCCAGCTTTCAGGTACGTCTGAAACACGACTCTGAGGTACCGCAGCAGTATGGACTTGCTCTAGACACAGTCTCATTAATCAAATCCTAGCTCTAACACTTTTTTTTTAATATAACTTTCTCAAATAACATGCATTTTTTGAATAATTTCATAAAACTAATGTTGTCAGGTGCTAAGATTTACAGTGTTTTGTTCTAATTCAGCAGAACTCTTCAGGGATATGGTTCTGTATTTTTTTTTTTTTGCAAGTATTTTTTAAACCTTCAATACAGTCATAATGTTTTGAAGTGCTAATTGCCAAACCTCCTAAAGTGTATAAAGAATGACATTTCATACAGCATCATTGATCATATTTTTAGGGAGTCTGTTGATGGATTAATAAACCATTGTAACCTTCTGTGCAAAAAAAAATGTTGATAATAAATGGACTGTAATCTAAAAAGCCTACTGCTAAGTGAATTGAAGTTGCAGCAGTAACTGAAAAACTGAATAATTATAGTATCGCAAAGACAAAACCCCGATGTCGAAGTTTACTTTCCCAGTTAAGTGTTTGCAAAGAGCTGCTCATGGAGGTCAGGAGCGCATTGTCCTTTGGCTGTCCCCACTGTTTGGCTTGCCAGTGAGGCACTCAGGGTGGGTGGCACTGAGTCTGGGCAGTCCATCCAACCTGGAAAGAGCCTTTCTACAAATACTTATTGAAATTGTTCTAACGGATGCCATTCAGTGCACTGTGGCAAACTTTTTAGTGCCTTTTTGATGTTGGCATAGCAGCTGTAATACATGAAAAGTAAAAATTTACATGGTAAGTGAAATAATATATAAAGATTAATCAGTAATTTAACATCAGGTACCAAACATAAAGGTGTCATTTAGCACTGATTTATATTTTTGCAAACTTAAAGTCTTGTTCCTTGAAGTTTG